GGAGGAGGAGGAGGAGGAGGAGGAGGAGGAGGAGGAGGGAGGAGGAGGGGGAACAACATCGTATTCTATGATCAGCATTTCCCTTGCGTGGTGTTTAGCTGTTCCCAGCAGATCCTAACCAACATGATCCTTCGAACTGTCTTTTTCACGCAGGCACTGGTGTACACCAGCGCTGCGTTGCACGCGGATGTTGTGGTGTACACAGGCGCTGTGGTGTGCACAAGCGCTGCGGTGCACGCAAGCACTGCTGAGTGCACAGCCGCGGTGTTGCACATGGTTGCTGCGGTGTGCACATTCGCTGTGGAGGACACAGGCGCTGCGTTGCACACGGCTGTTGCGATTTACACAGGCGCTGTGGTGTACACGCGCGCTGTGGCGCACGCGAGCACTTTGGTGTACACAGGCGCGTTGTTGCAGATCGCCACCTGCATACTGCTCCTACTTGGCCACGGTCATCCCTAGGTCTTCCTGGACGCCGCCGGCGCAGAACGTGACGTCATTTGGGGGGGAGGCGGGACCGGTGACGGCCGCGACCCCGAAGAAACAAAAACAAACAAACAAACAGGCTCCATGACGTCGGGACACAGACACAGACACAGACACACGCACTGTCGGTAGGGCGTGCCAGGCGTTTCACCTAGGACATCTTCACCCCTTATGATCCAGAAGCGTAACATTTGCGACGGCTACACGGATCGAGGGAGTAGGGGTGTCAACGTATGGTTCTCGTCGGACGGGGATCGCTACGACTGGGATAAGTCCGTTTCGGAGCGGTCTGGAACGCTCTCAGAGCGTTTCGGAAAGCTCTGAGAAAGCCTCCAAGCCCGAAACATCCTCCAGGGCCGCCCGATCTCAGAAATTCTCGACTTACCTTCGCCCGATGTTGTATTCGTCTCGGTTTCGTCTTATCTCGTCGTAGCGCTGCGCACACTCGTATAAACGCATTGTCTTGAAAAGGTCTGAGGCCAGCAAGTGGATCAGATGCAACGCCTGCACGGAGGGAGGGCGGTTTCTTGCCAACAACGAGGACTATCGAGTGTAACGTCCTTGAGATCTTGTCATCACTGGAACGTGTGCATGCTTCTCTCGGCGAGGACCATCGAGGAGCATCCTGGACCATCTTGCCAAAAAAAACGCGCGCGAAATCGAAACATGCACGTGGAATGGACGTCCGAGCGATGGCAGCAGATTCGTGGCCAGATGTGCACCCTCGTGCATCCGTTACGCAGATGGGTCGGTCTTTTTCACGGTGAGGGCCCCGGCCCAGGGTTCTCTGTTGGCTTGCTGGCCACAGGCCCTCCACCAGAAGGGCGTCGATCAGCGGCGTGGGAATGGGACTCGTAGAAGTACGCGTGCGGAGGGAGGGGTCTCCACCATGAGTCTCGGCACGCGTGCCTCCGGCACGTGTCTGCACACGTTCGCGGGCTCCTGTCCAAGGCGTACCTTTTCCTGCACATCCCGTTAGGCACCGCCGGGTCCCCGGGTTCGCCCGCCCCTGGCCGCGTGAGGCCCCGCCTGCTGCCGCCCTTTCTCTGCCAATGAAAGCTGTGCGCGTGACCCGCGCAGCTTTCGGCGGAGGAGGTTCGCTCTCGTTACCAGCCTCGAACGTATCCTTATCCTTAAGATTGACACGCCAGAAGGCGATGACAATCTTAGGGATTCGCCGTCAAGAATTAGGGAATCCCTAAGATTGGCATCGTGATGAGGAGGTGCCCAGCCTAGGGATAGGGATATGTTCCAGGCTGGTAATCGCCCTGCAGACCAAGAAGTCTGCACACGCTTTCGGGCCGCGACGGGGCCGCGAGCGAGGGGCCCCACTGGCCGGTGGCGACTTCCCTGCACGCGAAGATACGTAGAAGTACGTGTGCGGAGGGAGGGGTCTCCACCATGAGTCTCGGCACGCGTGCATCGCATCCGGCACGTGTCTGCACGCGTTTGCGGGCCACGACGGGGCCGCGAGCGAGGGGCCCCACCTGGCAGGCGGCGACCTCCCTGCACGCAGAGATGCGTGTGCGGACGGGGGTGGGGCCCAGCGTGCTCCTGGCGCGTGCGCGCGGGGCACGTGCTTTCTGCGTGTCCACAGGGCCCCAGGATCAAGTGGGGCCTGTCCCTCTACAGGAGGAGTGTTCGAAAATAGTCAAAAAGTAGTCTGGGGACCATGTTTGCGCGTGCACGTTAATGCTTGTTTTTTGGCGTATCTGGCGAGAACAACACATTCACGATTGAATGATCGTAAACGTGTATGCTAAAGCTCGTCCTGCAGGAGCTTGGACTCAGCGCCCCTCCCCCGGCGGGCAGTGCATGGATCACGCGCTGCAGCTGGGGTGCGCCGCGCTGGGCTCGTTGGTCGCTTCGTCTGTGAGGCACCCGACTTGCGTGTGCGACTGCACGCCGCCCGCGCCCGACGAGGGCGTCCTCGAGCTGCTGGGTCAGCATCTCCAGCGGTGCGGGCCCGAACGGCTCACCGTCTGCCCAGAGGCTGCGGCCTGCCCTGTGGCGCCCGAGTGCCCTGGGCTGCTGGGCCCCTTGCTGGCCGCCTTCGCGGGCGGCGCGCTGGTGGGGTGTGTGCCGGCGGTCCTCGTCGTGGTGATCCTCGACGTGGGCGGAGCCCGGCAGCGGGCTCGGGGCGTGGCGGCTCTCCAGGGGACCTCAGCGTGCCTGTCGATCGAGCCGCCGCCGACGGGCGAGGAGCCACCCGCGGCGCTGTCCCTGGAGGAGGAGGCCCGTGCGCAGCTCAAGCAGGTGCGGGCTCGGCGGGATGGAGCATCCGTTCGCTGAGCACTTCGGCCTGAGGAAAGGGGATTTCGCAGTGGTGGAGTACAACTGCAGGCCGCGGGACTTGCGGCACGAGCGCTGCGTCGTCCTCCTCCCCGAAGGGGAAAGCGAGCAGGTGGGTGTGGTGACGCCGGATGGGGACAGCTACATGGAGACATGGGCGTCCCAACGGCTCCCAGGGCGGAGATCTTGGGGACCCGAGTCTTCGGTGCTACCGCTTCCGCCAGGTTCCGTTGGCGCAGGAGCTGGGGGCCCAGAGGGATGCCTTGGCGCGCCAATGCCGACTTCCCCCGCCTGGGCTGCCGCTGGTGCCGAACGTCGGGTTGGCGATCGCGTCCTTGGCGGCCCCGCTGCCCTTGCCTCCGCAGGTCGAAGGACCACCGACGCCCCGCGGAGAGGCAGGGGCTCCGGCTGGCGCCGCCGTTGGCGATGGGCTGGGCGCGGGCCGACCTCCAGGCAGGTGGGTGACCGCCGAGGAGCGGCATGGCATCGCGCGGCTGACCCCCTGGGACGCCCCGCCCGCCGCCTGCGTGGTCGGCGACCGCGCCCTGGTCCAGCACGCGGGGAGGCCGCTGGTGCTGATGCAGGTCACGGACGAGGCGGCCCGAGGGCCTGCGGGTCCGGAGCCGGGCGCCACGCCAGTGCGGGGGCCCCCCCGTGAGGAGGGTGACGACGACCTCCGCACGCTGTCCGTGGTGTGGCATCGGATGAACGAGCGACACCGCACCTGGGAGAGCGTGATGGAGAACCTCAGCGAGAAGACCTTCACCGACTGGCCGCTGATGGGGCCGCAGACGGCCGCGTGGCTGCGCCGCCACATCCGCCTCAACGGCGGGAGCCCGACGGCCTTCTTCACACTAGTGGTGCGCGACATGAAGATGGCCGAGAATGGTCGAAGTGCCCACGAGCTCGAGGTGCTGTTCAATGTGATGGAGCTGGCGGGCACCGTCGACCAGCTGAACATCGGCAACCTGGCGTGCATGGAGCTGGTGGGCAGGAGGGTGCAGCTGATCATGGACGCGGTGGCGCCGCCGTCTGGGAAGGCTCCGAGCACTTCATGGGCCTCGGACGCAGGGCGCGAGGTATCGCCCCGGCTCTTCAGAGCCACGTGGCCGCCAGGCTCAAAGACGAAGCAGAGGTCGACAAGCAGCGCGACAAGGCGCGCGAGGCCCGCAAGCTTCGTGGAGGGAAGCCTGGCGGCGACAAAGGGTAGCTACAGGAGGAGCGGGGGGGGGTCGCCCGACCCTCACTCCAATCGAGGGCGAGGAGCCAGACGCGCCCCATCTTGGCGCATAGCGACGCCGTTTTTTTTTTTGTGTTTTCAGTCAGTCGCGGGCCTGAGATGGAGCACGACTGGGCTAAGCGGGGGTGCGATAGTCTGGGCTCCTGGCTCCCAGGCGAAGTCTTCCCTCTTCAACCTCCAGGTGTCGAAGCCCCGCCTCGTTTTGGTCTCTCCCGAAGCTGCGTTCAGCGCGCGCAGGCGCGCATGAGACAGCAGACAGAGGGTGGTGAGAGAGGCGTGCGAAGCTTTGAACTGGATGGCGGGCGCAGCGCCGCCCGCGGACGGAGGGCGCGCTCGCGAGGTGCAGGAGGTCGCGCGCAAAGACGTAGGCTTCCTTGCCTCGCACTGCGCTGACGCCGCTTTTGCCGCGCCTTCTGAAGCAGCTCGATCGCTTCTCCGGCACAAAGCGGGCCGCGGCCCGTCTGACAGCCCAGCGCGCCCGTTCGTGAAGGGCCTCGCGTCGTTGCCAGCCGACGCAGCCGACTGCCCTTTGGCGGCTGAGGTCCTGGGCGAGCGAGAGCGTTCGATGCTCGAACGGCTGCCGATTGATTTTCTCCGCGATGAGGAAGAGATGAGGTCTGAGCCTCCAGTGAAGCCCTATATGGACCCCCGGCTCCGAGGGGGCAGTCTGGCCCATGTAGATTGCGTGAGAGAGCTGCAAAGTAGGGGCATAGTCACCTGGCGACGGCAGCGCCGGGCAGAGTGTGCCATGTTTCTGTTGCTACGAAAGACGGTCGGCTCCGTCTGATTATTGATGCGCGCGTAGCAAATCGAGAATTCAGTGCCCCCCCGGGAGTGGCAGTGGCGACAGTCGAGAACTTCGCCAGCGTCGAGGTGGGGCCCAAACATACTCTGTACATATCTAAAGGGGATGTCTCTAACTGTTTCCATAGGCTCGGCATCGACGGCATCGACGGCCCTCTGTGCGATTTGTTTGGTCTCCCTCCTATTGAAGCCGGGGCTCTGGGGATTGGATTTGTGGAAGGGGCTTCAGTGGCCCAAGACGAGTTTGTGTATCCGTGCCTCAGGGCATTGCCGATGGGATTTACGTGGGGCTTATTCTTCGCGCAGAGGGCCGCGCAGAACACCGCGTATAAGGTGCCGCGCCTATGCCCCGAGAGTGCCCTCGAGAACCGCTCGTGCAACGCCGTTTTCGACACCGAGGGGATGAGCTTGGCTCATTACGTATATGTCGACAACGTCGGGGTCCTGGGCTTGGAGGCGAACGAGGTTCAGCAGGGCCGGGAGGCCGCGACCAGGGCTCTGGACGAAGTCGGATTGATCATACACGAGCTCACCACGTCTACTCATCTCGAAGCTCCCGGAGTGGTTATCGATGGGGCAAAGGGGGTAATACGTTTAAGTGAGAGACGGCATAGTCGTATACGCGGAGCTCTCCAGTGGGCTCTGAGCAGGAGGAGATTGAGCGGCGCACAGTTGGAAATGCCTGTGGGTCATCTCACCTTTGCCTTCCTGATGCGTCGCCCGCTATTGTCAGTCTGTGGGGCCACCTATCGCTTAATCCGTCATAACTATCAGTATGAACGGACTCTGTGGCCGAGTGTGTATGTTGAGTTGGAGGCCGCCTACCGTGCGTTGCCTCTGTGTGTAGCCGAACTTCGCCTGCCCTGGAGCTCCAAGTTTTCGCCTACGATGCGCGTGCCAGTGGCATGGGGTGGTGGTGCAGACGGAGTGGAAGGAGGCGCAGGTGCAGCAGGTGGGGAGGCTGGCGGAGCGTTTCAGATTCAGATGCGCGGGCCTTGGGGGACATCGCGATCGGGCCCTGGGGCTGGCTGTCTTGGACCCCTTCTCAGACCCTATGACGGCGATCGGGGCTTCCACCTCGGGTTACGAGCTCTGGGAGGAGGGCCCAGTTTTCGAGGACGTGCCGAAAGCGTGGACTCAGAAGTCTGTTTGGGAGCATATCTATAGTGGGCGTTTTCGGAGACTAGAGCCTGTTCATGTAAAAGAGTGCCGTACTTCCCTGTGGTGTCTGAGGCGTTTCTGCAAGGCTCGGTCAGGACGTGCGACTCGGGTTCTTCTCCTGGGCGATAACCTCAGTACCATTTTGGCTCGCTCAAAGGGTCGGGCAACCAGCTGGCAACTGCTTGCGCTGCGTCGAAGGCGATGCGCTCTCCAGCTGGGCCGCCGACTCGTCGCGGTTGATCGCTGGACCCCTTCGGAGCTCAACCCCGCGGACGCAGCCAGCCGAGTCTTCGAGAGGCGAAAGTTGCCGAGAGACAAGGCGTCTGACAATGGTCTCCCTCGCCCTGGTGAAGCCGCCGGAGGACGCGCTGCGGGCGGGCCGGGCGCCTGTGGCGCGGCCGAGCGCGGAGCCTTCGGCCCGCCGCCTGGCCTCGACGCCCCTGCCTGGCCCGCCGCCAGAGGAGCGCGTGCTCCTGGCAAAGACGGCGGGCCAGCCAGAGAGCTCTGCACAGACGGCGGAGGCGCGGAAGGCATGCGCAGCTTAGCTGGACCGCTGGCAGACGTGTTTCGCCGCGGGCCTCGAGTCCGACGAGAGCTTCCCTGTGAGAGGTGCCGTGGCCGAGGGTAGTTACCGGCGATGCACGGAGCGCGCGAGAGACTTTCAGAACCACGTCGGGATCCGGAAGTGGAACGAGCTGAGCGACCGGGACCTCGACGCCCTGGTGGTCGCCCGCCTGGAGGAGATGTTCTTGGGGGGAGCCGCCGGCCACCACGGGAGCTACATGCTGGCGGCCCTGGGGGCCTTCTCACCCGCGCTGGGGCGACGCGGCGAGCGGCAGCTGCCGCGAGCACGGCGCGCCCTCGTGGGATGGCAAGGGCTCTGCCCAGGCCACTCTCGGCCTCCCCACGCGTGGGCGGTGATATGCGGACTGGCGGTGTGGCTGCTGCAACGGGGGCTCCCTCTGATGGGGCTCTGGTGAATCGCGACCACCAGCCTGCACCTGCAGCCGGGAGAGAGCCTGGAGCTGAGAGGGATGGACTTCTTCCATCCAACAGGGCGCAGCTCCCCGACCTGGTCAGTCCTGATCCGACCAAGGGAGCTCAACATCCCCACCAAGACCAGGGACTTCGACGACTCCGTGCGGTGGGGCGTGCCCGAGTTACAATGGGTGACCCGCTGCTTCGAAAAGTGGCGGGCGGCCAAGGAGACGAAGGTGTGGGCCTTCGACTGCAGCGACCTGGCCCGAGAGATCCGCCACGCCGCCGAGGCCCTCGACATCGACGACCTGGTGCCCTACTCCGTGCGGCACACAGGGGCGTCGTGGGACGTCGCAGTGGGTCGGAGGTCGCTGAACGAGGTGCAGAAGAGGGGCCGTTGGAGGTCCCGCCGCAGCGTCGCCAGATACGAGAAGGCCGGCCAGGTCTCAAAGGGCTTCCTCAAGCTACGGCCAGACGTGCGACGAAAGAAGCAGTGGTGCGAAGCAAATTTGGAGCTGGTGTTCATCAGGGCCGTGAGAGGCCCTTGGTGATGCTTGATCTGTTTGCTGGCGTGGCTCGCGCGTCCCCAAGGCTTTCTCGCAGCTCGGGCGCATCGCAGAGATTTTGGATTTCAGAAACGGGCCAGCCTTTGATATTTCAGACAAGCACGTCTTGAGTCACCTGCTCCACATAATTCGACGCAGCTGTTCTGATGGCGTAATGGTGGCCCCACCATGCACACCTTTCAGTATCGCCCATCACCCAGCCCTGCGCCTGGCCGCCTGTCCTTGGGGGATCCCCGAGGCTGCAGGGCACCCACAACTGGTGCAGGCGAATTTGGTGACGAGGGCGAAGCTGCTGGTCTCGCAAGGTCCCGTTTGCTGTCGAGAACCCGCAGACCAGTTTGTTTTGGAAGCTGCCAGAGATTGCCCACCTCACATCCACTAAGAATAGCTACCGGATGATTACCGACCTGTGCCAGTGGGGGGCCCCATGGAAGAAACCGACCACCGTCTGGTTCGCTTTTTTCGACAAGTCCTTGACCGAAGTTGGTGCCCGACGCTGTCATCCTCGAGGTTGTGTTTGCAGCCGATCCGGGAAGCCCCATATCGGGCTGTCTGGGAAGATCCCTGGCGGGCCCTGGCGTACGTTGATCGCACAAGCCTATCTCAAAGGGTTCGCGGACTTCCTTGCCTTGGTGTTTGACAACAAACCTCGATATGATCGCTTACGCAGGTCAAATATCTGGGGTTCGGGTGGAGCTGGCCAGCTTTAAGATGGGTTTCTCCGTCTTCTACCTGGGCCCATCGGCCCTCAGTGCAACGCCGTCGAACAGAAGGATTCCCTGCCCCAGCCAGAAAAAGATACCATGTTTGTGCGTGCGCGTTAATGGTTGGTTTTCTGGCGTATCTGACGAGAGCAACACCTTCACGATTGAATAATCGTAAACGTGTATGCTCAAGCTCGTCCTGCACCGCTTCTCTCTCCTCTCGCGCTTCGCTTGCTAAGTTTTTTCGTCTCTTCCAACTCACCCATCAACTTTGGGTGGAGCTGGCCAGCTTTAAGATGGGTTTCTCCGTCTTCTACCTGGGCCCATCGGCCCTCAGTGCAGCGCCGTCGAACAGAAGGATTCCCTGCCCCAGCCAGAAAAGAGATCATTTTTGGATTCGTTTGCAATTTTGGAGTATGTTTAAAGTTTTTTTGATTATTCGTCGAAGATCCCCGTGTAGGGGGTCACGCCTGACTTAACCCCAGGAGGGCCCAACTTGGGGGTGACGATGTCTGCGCACGTGAGATTTCATGCGCGCGGGGGGGGGGGGGGGGGGGGGCGCTCAACGGACGGGGGGGGGCCCAGCATGCGCCTGGCGCGTGCGCGCGGAGAAGTTGTCTTCACGTGTTTCGGGCCACGACGGGGCCGCAAGCGAGGGACCCAAACTGGGAGTGATGGTTGTGGCGATGGTGCTGATGGTGATGATGCTGCTGCTGATGAGTGTGCTGATGATGATGGTGGTGATGGTGGTGGTGATGATGATGCTGCTGATGATGATTCTGATGATGGTGATGGCGATGGTGCTGATGCTGGTGATGATGCTTAAGGTGATGGTGATCGTGATGATGATTACGATGATGGTGTTGGTGGTGCTGGTGGTGGTGATGATGCTGATGACGAGGGGGAGGAGGATGGTGATGCTGATGATGATGCTGATGGTGATGGTGTTGATGACGATGCCGATGATGATAGTTGTGGTGATGGTGATGGTGATAGTGGTGATGCTGATGATGCTGATGGTGTTGATGATGCGGATGATAATGTTGATGATGATGATGATGTTGATGATGATGATGATGAAGAAGCAGATGACGATTACGATGATGATGGCGATGCTGATACTGATGCTGATAATGATGAAGATGCTGGTGGTGGTGATGATGGTGATGATTAGTATGATGATGACGAGGACGGTGTTGATGACGATTATGGTGCTGATGCTAATGCGGATGCTCATGATGATGACGGTGGGATGTTGATGCTGGTGATGTTGATGCCGATGCTGTTGGTGCTGCTACTGATGCTGGTGATGATGCTGATGATGCTGATGATGATGATGGTGGTGTTGATGGTGGTGGTTATGTTGCTGATGGTGGTGGTGATGATGACGACGATGATGCTGACGATGATGATAATTATGCTGGTGATGATGCTAATGACGATGTTGATGATGCTGGTGATGATGGTTGTGATGATGGTGCTACTGCTAATGATTGTTCTGATAATGATGGCGGTGATGAGGATGACCACGTCGACGACTATGATGATGCTGATGCTGATAATGATTATGATGATGGTGATGACCACGACGATAATGATGATGATGCTGTTGATGATGATGCTTCCGCTGTTGCTGATTATGATGATGTGTATGTTGATGCTGAGTATGATGATGATGATGATGAAAATGATGATGATGACGATGATGATTAGAATGATGACGATGATGATGATGATGATGATGATGATGATGATGATGATGATGATGATGATGATGATGATGTATGATGCTGATGATGATGATGATGATGATGATGATGAGATGATGATGATGACGATGATGATGATGATGATGATGATGCTGCTGATGATGCTGATGATGATGGTGGTGATGGTGGTGATGGTGGATGATGGTGGTGATGGTGATGGTGATGATGATGCTGATGATGATGCTGCTGATGATGATGATGCTGATTAGGAGAAGGATTATGATTTCGACGCTGATGATGATGACGAGGAGGAAGAGGGAGGAGGAGGAGAAGGGCGGTCGATGATGATGATGATGATGATGATGATGATGATGATGATGAGGAGATGAGGAGGAGGGGAGGAGGAGGAGGAGGAGGAGGAAGAGCAGAAGGAGGAGGAAGAAGAGGAGGAGGAGGAGGCGTTAGAGAAGGTGGAGTCGTTGGAGGAGGAGGAGGAGGAGAAAGGGCACGTTTGACTGAGGACGCCGACTCAGGAGGAGGAGGAGGAGGAGGAGGAGGAGGGCGACAGCCGGGCCGAGCGACCTAAAAGGTGACGGGCGTCGCCGTGCAGGAGGGGGACAACGATGAGGAGGAGGAGGAGGAGGAGGAGGAGGAGGAGGAGGGGTCAGATAAAGGAGGAAGGATCAGGAAGGCTGAGGAGGAGGAGGAGGAAGAGGAGGACGAGGAGGAGGAGAAGGAGGAGGAGGAGGATGGTGGGAAGGGGAGGAAAAGCTCGGGTGTTCTCACGACTAGGAAAACTGAAACAGGACAAGAGAGAACTGAAGCACGACAAAGCACGGATTATTCACGACAAGTATTTTCGAAGCCCACTTTCGCCGCCCACTTTCGCCGCCCACTCTCGCCGCCCACTTTCGGCGCCCACTTTCGGCGCCCACTTTCGGCGCCCACTTTCGCCGCCCACTTTCGCCGCCCACTTTCGCCGCCCACTTTCGCCGCCCACTTTCGGCGCCCACTTTCGCCGCCCACGTTGCCGCCCACTTTCGGCGCCCACGTTCGGCGCCCACTTTCGCCGCCCACTTTCGGCGCCCACTTTCGCCGCCCACTTTCGCCGCCCACTTTCGGCGCCCACTTTCGGCGCCCACTTTCGGCGCCTTTCGCCGCCCACTTTCGGCGCCCACTTTCGGCGCCCACTTTCGCCGCCCACTTTCGCCGCCCACTTTCGGCGCCCACTTTCGGCGCCCACTTTCGGCGCCCACTTTCGGCGCCCACTTTCGCCGCCCACCTTCGGCGCCCACTTTCGGCGCCCACTTTCGGCGCCCACTTTCGGCGCCCACTTTCGCCGCCCACTTTCGGCGCCCACTTGCGCCGCCACTTTCGCCCACTTTGGGCGCCCCATTTCGCCGCCCACTTTCGGCGCCCACTTTCGCCGCCCACTTTCGCCGCCCACTTTCGGCGCCCATTTTCGGCGCCACTTTCGACGGCCCACGTTCGCCGCCCAAAAGGGGCGCGAAAGTGGGCGCCGAAAGTGGGCGCCGAACTGTGGGCGCCCGAAAAATGGGCGGCGAAAGTGGGCGGCGAAGTGGGCGGCGAACGTGGGAGGCGAACCAGTGGGCGGCGCGAACGTGGGGCTCTTTTGTGCGAACGTGGGGGGCGCGAAAGGGGGCGGCAAAAGGAGGGCGCCGAACGTGGGCGCCGAAAGTGGGCGCCGAAAGTGGGCGCCGAAAGTGGGCGCCGAAAGTGGGCGCCGAAAATGGGCGGCGAAAGTGGGCGGCGAACGTGGGCGGCGAACGTGGGCGGCGAACGTGGGCGGCGAACGTGGGCTGCGAACGTGGGCGGCGAAAGTGGGCGGCAAAAGTGGGCGCCGAAAGTGGGCGCCGAAAGTGAGCGCCGAAAGTGAGCGCCGAAAGTGGGCGGCGAAAATGGGCGCCGAAAGTGGGCTCCGAAAGAGGGCGGCGAAAGTAGGCGGCGAACGTGGGCGGCGAACGTGGGCGGCGAACGTGGGCGGCGAACGTGGGCTGCGAACGTGGGCGGCGAAAGTGGGCGGCAAAAGTGGGCGGCGAAGCGGCGAAAGTGGGCGCCGAAAGTGGGCGCCGAAAGTGGGCGCCGAAAGTGGGCGCCGAACGTGGGCGGCGAAAGTGGGCGCCGAAAGTGGGCGGCGAAAGTGGGCGGCGAAAGTGGGCGCCGAAAGTGGGCGGCGAACGTGGGCTTGCTTGTCGTGAAGCTGTCTCTTCCTTGTAGTGAAGCTGCTTGTCGCGAAACCATCCCGGCCATAGGGGAGGAGGAGGAGGAGGAGGAGGAGGAGGAGCAAGAAGAAGAAGAAGAAGAAGAGGAGGAGGAGGAGGAGGAGGAGGAGGAGCAGAGGGATCAGGAGGAGGAGGATCATAGGCAGGACGTGCAGGCGGTAGCGGCTGCAGACAAGCAAATGGACAGTGCCGCACGCGCGTCAGAAGAGAGTGTCACTCCAATTCCTTACAGGGTTCGTCGATCCCTCAAGTTCAAGATGGTGGTGTTTCTGGACACTTCGCTGATCTGTATGACCGTGTTCCATCGCATTTCGCATTTCGTGCTGAACATGGTAGTGTTAGAAGGATGCAAGGCAGTGTCTTTCAAAGCTGGGTGCTTGCCTGCATGGCAAGGTCAAAGGGAACTGGTCTTTCGGGGGTGTACTTCACATATGGTGCAAAGGAAGGGTTGCATGGACTTGTGAGGAGGGGCTTTTGCAAGGGATGATGTATTGCAGCATCGTTGATGCATCTTGGGTTTACTCTGGTCCTCCTCCTCCTCCTCCTCCTCCTTTCTTGCTCCCTCCCCCACTCTTCTCCCCCACCCTGAGCGACCCGGTTTCTCGTCCTCGTCCCCCGTCGTCCGTCTCGTCCTCCTCCTCCTCCTCCTCCTCCTCGCCCTTCTTCCTCCTCCTCCTCCTCTTCCTCCTCCTCCTCCTCCTCCTCCTCCTCCTCCTCCTCTTCGTCTTCCTCCTCCTCCTCGCCCTTCGTCGTCCTCCTCCTCCTCCTCCTCCTCCTCCTCGTCCTCCTCGCCCTTCGCCCTCGAGCCCTCCTCCTCCTCCTCCTCCTCCTCCTCCTCTCTCTTCTCCTCCTCGCCCGTCTCCTCCTCCTCCTCCTCCTCCTCTCCTCCTCCTCCTCCTCCTCCTCCCCTCCTCTTCGTCCTCCTCCTCCTCCTCGCCCTTCGTCGTCGTCCTCCTCCTCTCCTCCTCCTCGTCCCCGCCCTTCGTCTCGAGCCCTCGCTCCCTGGGAGTGGGGGGGGGGGGCGGGGCGGGGGCCGACGCTGCCCCGGGGGGCCCTGCGCCCGGCCCAGCTTCGTGGCGCCCTCGGAGCTCACCGCGCAGCTGCCGCTGCTCCTGCAGCTCGCGGGCCCCGGCGCCGAGGCGGAGCGGCCGGCGGAGGCCTCGCAGGAGGCCCCGCAGGAGGCCCGACTGGGGCGGAGGACGGCGGAGCAGGGAGGAGGAGGAGGAGGAGGAGGAGGAGGAGGAGGGAGAGGAGGAGGAGGAGGAGGAGGAGGAGGGGAGGAGGAGGAGGAGGAGGGGGAGGAGGAGGAGGAGGAGGAGGAGGAGGAGGAGGAGGAGGAAGGAGGGCGGCAATGACGAGGAGCAGGGGGTGAAGGAACAGCCGGGGGAGGAGGAGGGGGAGGAGGGGGAGGAGGAGGAGGAGGATGAGGAGGAGGAGGAGGAGGAGGAGGAGGAGGATGAAGAGGAAGAGGAGGACGACGACGACGACCAGCAGGACGATGCGTCAGCGGGAGCAGAAGACGGAGCAGTTGCAGGAGCAGGGGTGACAGGGCGAGCTCATAACACGTGCTGTGTGCCCCAACCGGTGTGTTACGATTGGCACGGACTGCGCTGCGCCCGAGAGGTGAGAATTGGTGCAAGGGCATCAGGGCATCATGGCACGAGTGTGGGGGGGGTCACAACCATGCCAGACAAGCAGTCTCAGATGCCCCCAGACCAGCCATGAAAGGGCGGCCTTTTGCCCAGACCGCCCCGAACCGTCCAGGACAACTCAAACCAGACCCCCCCACCCAATGTGTTCCCCCCAACATTTCTTATGCCATCTGATGCAACAGCGAGGAAGAGGAGAGCGTGGGAGAATGGAAGGCGGTTCATGAAAGGCGCGACGGGGAAGATGGAGTAGAAGGTTATGCGGCACAACTTGTCACCTCCCGCTGCCAATGTTGGTGATCATTGGCTTCCGTTGTCGCGGCCACGATGGTATAAACAGGCCGTGATTGAGAGAGGGAGTAGGAGGAGGAGTGATTGGTAGGGGCGTGGGGAGAGAATTGGGTGGAAAGAGGGAGAGTGGGAGGTCGAGGAAGAGGACGCGGACGAGGAGGAGGAGGAGGAGGAGGAGGAGGAGAGGAGGACGAGGTAGAGGGGGGTGGAGGAGAACGAGGGGGAGGAGGAGCAGGAGGAGAAGGAGGAGGATGAGAAGGTTGTAAGAGAAGGGCGAGGACCAAGAGGAGGAGGAGAAGGAGGAGAAGGAGGAGGAGGAGCACGATGATGATGATGAGGAGGAGGAGGTCTAGTGCAAACCCAAAACCCATCAGCGACGTTGGAGTAAACCCGCCCTTCAAGCTCCCGCTTCATAGGCTCGCACAAGTTTTCGTTCCCAGTGAGGGAAGTTCCCCGTTAGGAGACAACCGTTTGAAAACCTTAAAGCGTACTTGGACTTTTTCCTTGGGGCTCCAACGCTACGAATCAACGTGATTATGGCGTCTTGACGATACTGAATCGCGCCAGAACGCCATTCTTGGGACACCAGCGCCGCGAATCAAAGACACGTGTGCGCCCTGACGCTCCTGAACTGCTCCAAAACATTATTCCTGGTACGCTGACCATGGGAACCCGTGAAATTCTTGAATTAGTTAAGGCGTATGTGCGCGGCGCTAAAGCGAGAGCCACAGTTTGAAACAGAATCGCTCTCACTCAGCGGAACTCGTACATTGTTTAAGACGAGTGTACGCGGCGCTAAGGCGAGCCCCACATTTTGAAAACGACCCGCCCTCCATCCGTGAAGCTCTTGCACTTGTTTAGCACGAGTGTGCGCGGCGTTGAGACGAGAGAAACAGTTTTAAAATCACCCGCCGTCCATCCGTGAAGCTCTTGCACGATTTGTTTAACGAGTGTGCACGGCGCTAAGGCGAGTGCCACAGTTTGAAAACGGCCCGCCCCCAATCCGCGGAGCTCTTGCACATTTTCAACACGAATGTGCGCAGCGCTAATGCGGGAGCCACATTTTGAAAACGACCCGCCCTCCATCTGTGAAGCTGTTGTCAAGGTTTAAGTTTAAGGACCATAAGTGGTGAGGAAGTTTCTGGCGAAACGCCCGGCCCGCCCTTTCGAATGGTCTCGGGGGCGACAGGGAGGAGTTGTTTATGAGGAAAAGGACGACGACGAGGACGAGGCCGGTGGATGAGGAGGAGGCGGAGGAGGAGGGGGAGGAGGATGAGGAGGAAGGATGAGGAGACGGAGGAGGGAGGAGGAGGATGAGAAGGGTGGAGGAGAAGAAAGGCTTAGAAGGAGAAGGACGACGATGATGATTATCTTGATGATGATGATGATGATGATGATGATGATGATGATGATGATGATGCTGAAGAGGATGATGCTGATGCTGATGATGCTGATGATAATGATGATGCTGATGATGATTATGATGATGATGTTGTTGATGATGATGATGATGCTGATGATGATGATGATGATGATGAGGAGGAGGAGGAGGAGGAGCCGGCTGAAGAGGAAATCTGGAATGACTTTTGCGGCACCGGCGGAGGCGCAGGACGCGCAGCCTGGCGGCCTGGGCCACGGTGTTGAGGGCGCGGCTCCGCCAGAACGCAGGCGGGGGTCTGGGGGGCTCGGCTCAAGGGAGGAGGACGGCGGTGGTGAGATGGAGGAGGAGGAGGAGGAGGAGGAGGAGGAAGGGGAGGAGGAGGAGGAGGAGGAGGAGGAGGAGGAGGGAGGAGGAGGAGGAGGAGGAGGAGGAGGAGGAGAGGAGGAGGAGGGGAGGGGGAGGGGGGGACGAGGAGGAGGAAAGGAGGAGGAGGAGGAAGGAGGAGGAGGAGGAGAAAGAAGGAGGAGGAGGAGGAGGAGGAGGGAGGAGGAGGGGGAGGAGGAGGAGGAGGAGAGGGAGGAGGAGGGAAGAGGAGGAGGAGGAGGAGGAAGAGGAGGAGAAGAAGGAGTAGGAGGAGGAGAAGAAGGATGCGCACCAATCATCCAGCGCCTTCGTCGGTTACCTGTTTTTGTTTCCCGTTTCGGGATGCTCTCCCTCAGGTGCGCCTCGTCGAGAGCGTTCCTGGGGTCGCCTGACTCGCCCGAAGCGTCCCCACCGGCCGCCAGAGGCCTTAGTTATAGCTGGGAAGCGAGAATTCCAGCGTCGTGAACACACATCAAGCCAGAGGTCTGTCGCCGCTGTCGACCTCCTCCTCCTCCTCCTCCTCCTCCTCCTCCTCCTCCTCCTCCTCCTCCTGCTCCTAACAGCAGGCAAGAACTGCAACGACGCGGCCCAGGACTTGTGCAGAAGGGCAACCAGCGGGGAGAGCGTGGACACCGCATCGCTGGGCAGCCCGCGCGTGAAGATCTGGACAGAGGTGCTAATTTACCTGGGCCGCGTGCACGAGGCAGGAGCCGAGCGAGACCTACTCGAGGAAGTACTACACGGACTGCGTATTGAACGGCAACGCGGAGATCGTAACATCGTCAGTGCCCGTGTTCCGCGCCAGGCGCAACAAGGGGAAGGAGGTCGGCAACGGGGCACAGGAGAAGTGCAGGATCCAGTCCCAGATGCATCACACGTACCATCAGCTGGAGACGGTGATAGTCAAGCAGCTCAAGAAGGAAGGGGCGATCAGGAAGGTGGGAGCAGCGCCGCGTGGGGCCATCGAGAGGGAGCTCGGGAGACACATCAAGGGGGCGTGAGCAATACGACAGAGAATGGCCGACTGGACACCGATCAGTTTTGTGCGACACCAGCAGATGCAGCTCCCAACGGTGACCTAGTGGACAAAGATCAGTTTTGTGCGACGCCAGCTGGTGCAGCATCAGATAGTGGCCGACGGGACAAATATCAGTTTTGTGCGACATCAGCGGGCGCCCTGATGCAGGATACCTGTCATGGCAAGGCACCGGGTTTCTTGCAGGGTAAGTGGATAGTCTTCGAAGGGTACGGGCCGGTCTGGAGTCGTGGCTCCATGTTTAGCTCCCTGGGCTCCGCGAAAAGCTCCCCACAAAGCGGGGCTGATGGAGAGCACCCGCTGCCTCTGCTTGCAACATCGCCTTCTGTAAGCAGAAACGGGGCTCCCGCTTGATACTTCCTTCAAACGCCGCCGCCCCAGGGGCTTTCTGCGGCCCAAAATTTCAACGAATCGAACCAGATGCGTAGTCACTTGCGTTTTTTCTGTTCTGGGGGATTTTTTTTTGATTTGAGGCCTATTTGGAAGGACCGAAAACGCCGCTTCAGAACGCGCGGAAGCCGGCAATGAGGCCAGCGCTGCAGCGGGAGCAAGATTCGGAACGAGCGGAAGGCCGAACATGAGGCCAGCGCTTCAGCGGGAGCAACATGTTGAAAAACCCGAGCGAACACCCAGTTCCCGGGAATCCTATGTAAAAAACAATACGCGGAGGGGGGGGCGAACATCTTCTGGACGTCATCAGGGAAGAGAGGAAAGTAGTATTCACATTACATTGTGTCATTGTTGAGGATGAGGATACTATTGAGGGTTCACGTTTCTCTCCCCCTCCTCCTCTTATAGGGGGGCTGTGGGAGAGCAGGGGTGTAATACTGGGGGCAGTAGGATGAAGAGACATTACTCCTGAACCCCATCATCCTCCAAATCCTCCTCGTCTTCCTCAATATCGCTCTTCATCCTCCTCCTCCGATGACCCCCCCACTCCTCCTTCCATGGGTGGGATACTGGGAGGAGAAGAAGGGCGATGCGGAGTGGCGATCGAAGGAGGACGGGAAGTGTGTGGAGCAAGATGTTGACAAGGAGGAGGAGGAGGAGGAGGAGGAGGAGGAGGGGGGATTTGTATTCTTCAACGTCTTTGCCATGTTCCTGATCATCCTCCTACCTCTTCCTGCCCCTCCTTCTCCTCGTCCTTCTCGTCCTGACCTTCCCCATGCCACCAAGTGTCACGGTGCCTCTTCTCGTCGTCGCGTTCCTTCTTTTCTTTCATGCCAGAAACGCGACAGGAACGCTAGATGAGGATGAACAAGTGGAGAGACAAGGGAGAAGAAGGGGTAGGAGGAGGGGGAAGAGGAGGAGAGGTTGTCAATGCGTAGCTCCTCTTCATCTCCACCTCCACCTTGATCATCTCAGACCAGTTCCTCGTTCTTCTCTTTACTATCTGATTCGTCCGCGACCTTCTCAGCCTCCTCTCATCGCCCTTGGGGAAGATCCGAGGCAGAGGAGGGCGGGCAAATGAAGCAGAGCAGGTGTAGTGGAGGAGGAGGAGGAGGATGAGGAGGAAAAGAAAGGGAGGATGAGGAGGAGGAGGGGGAGGGGAAGGAGGAGGAAGAGGAGAAGGAGGAGGAGGAAGAGGAGGAGGAGAAGGATGATGAAGGGAATGCGACGGAGGGGGAGGAGGAGTAGGAGGCGGAGGAGGAGGAGAAGGAGGAGGAGTGACAGGAGGAGCAGCAACAGACTTTGAATGCAGAGAAGAAGGGGATAATAGATGGAGGGCGATGGCGATGAAGCGGCGGACAATTGGTAGGAGGAGGAAGAGGATGAGAAGGACTATAATCTTTGTACGGGTAAATAAGGATACACGTGTTGAGGACGTGTATACGTCCTCGCCCTTCTCATCGTCGCCACCCTGCACCCACCACTTTCCGTCATCGGGGGGCTGGAGGAGGATGAAGAGGGGAGAACAAGAGACGAACAGGCAGGAGAAGGAGTAGGAGGCCAACACTTTGCTCCTATCCCTCTCCATTCTCTTCCTGATTTTCTCATTCCTCTTCCTCGCCCGTCCCCTCACCATCTGATTCGTCCTCCAACTTCTCAGCTACACCCCATCGATTCTATGGATGGAGGAGGGGAACGTGATATGAGTAGGGAAAATAATACGAGGCAGAGAAAGGCGGGCAGAGGAGTCGGAGCAGGTGTAGTGTAAGAGGAGGGGAGGAGGAGGAGGAGGAGGAGGAGGAGGAGGAGGAGGAGGAGAAGGAGGAGGCGGAGGAGGAGGAGGAGGAGGAGGAGTTGGAGAAGGGGGAGGCGGAGGCGGAGGAGGCGGATTGGGAGGATGAGGAGGATAATGAAGGGAATGAAAAGGGAGAGGAGTGACAGTAGGAGCAGCAGGAGCCGTAGGATGAGGAGGAGGAGAAGGAGGAGGAGGAGAAGGAGGAGGTTTATGACGATGATGTGTCCGAAAACTTCTATGAAAGGAGGAGAAGGGAAATGATGGGGATGGAGAGAAATACTGTAATGATGTTGAGGAGTATGGAGTATCTCTTCCTCCTGCTCCTCCCCCTCCTAGTCGTCATCATCCTGAACCAATTACTATCCTTCATCCTCGCAGCGACGATATGCGGGCTCGATGTGTGGATGCCCAGTGCATTACGTGGGGTCGTCTGAGAAATTCAAGCCATCATCATGCTTTCGAAATTAGCAGCGGTCCCTCTTTGACCCCCGAGCCTTGGGCGGCTGTTCTCGCTTGGGACTTTCTCTGATCTGTTTAGCACAAGCGTAAACCTGTACAACAGTTGCACGGGAGGGGGGTGGTCCTTCGAACGGGCGGCCTCGCTGAACACCTCGTTCAACTGCATGACCATAGTTTCCCGCATGCCTGACTGCGCGCCAGAAGGTTGCAATCCAGTTCCTTTTCAAAGCAGGCCCCTGTCCAAAATCGCAGGCCAAACTGCGCTGGTCTTTCAAGGGGGCGTTCCTTGCAGTGGCACTGAAAGCTTGCAGGGACGTGTGATGAGGGGGCTCGAGACGGTAGGGCGTACTGCAGCATCGCTGTTGCAACTTGGGTTTAATCTGGTCCCACCTCTTTCTCCCTCTCCTCCTCCTCCTCCTCCTCTTCCTCCCTCACCTTCCCCCTCCTCCGCCTCCTCCTCCTCCTCCTCCTTCCTCCATCCTCCTCCCTCCTCCTATTGGGGCACCGTTGGGTTTATTCCCACCCCTTGGGCACCCCTCTTCGGGGGTGAGGGATTTTGTCTTTCTTCCTCCCTCTCCTCCTCCTCCGCCCTTTCCCCCTCCCCTCTCTTCTTGTCCTCCTCCTCCTCCTTCCCTCTCCTCCTTCCTCCTCCTCCTCTTTCCTCTCCTCCTCCTGCCTCCTGCCTCCCCTCCTCCTCTCCTCCTCTCGCCTCCTCCTCCTCCTTCCTTCCTCCTCCTCCTCCTCCTCCTCCCTCCACCCTGTCCTTCCTCCTTCCTCCCCCCCTCCGAGCTTCTCCCTCCGAGCTCCGCGCCGACTGGCCGCAGGGCCAGGGCCCCCTCGGCTCCGCCGCCGCCCCCCCCGTGCCAGAGGCGCCCGAGCGCCGCGTTCTTCCTGTGGCTGCGTGAGAACGCCGCGTCCCTCGACGAGGACCCCGGGCGCGGGCCGTCGGCGGGGAGTCAACGGCACCGTAACGGGTACTTACTAACGGGTACTTTGAAATTTTGCCGAAAGTTGCCACTTTAGGGCCTTTTTCTTGCATTGCAGCTTTGCCCACATCGGGAAGGGTTGGGTTCGCTGGGTCACTGGCCAAAGTACCCGTTAGTGGAGTCCCCGTTTGAGGGGCGCTGAGGGAGGAAAGCCTCGAGATTGGAGCCGGCTGGTTGGCTGAGGTGGCCCGGTACTGGCTCTGGCCAGCAGCAGGGCGGGGGGTTAAGGGGCCCCCTTCGTCGCCACCGTTGGGCGCGGCTATAAAAGCCTGTCCGTTTCGACCCTGCGAGGAGTTTCGGGACAGATTTTGAGCGAACTTGCCCCCGCCCCCTGACCTCACCGATTTTCTTCAGGCTTATCTTGAGTGATCTTGCGCTATCTGGAGCCATATTGTAGGCCATCTTGCACTCTCTGAGGCCCCCCTGGAGCCATCTTGGGCCGTCTTGGACGCTCCAACGCGCCGCGACCGGCCCGGCAAGCGCTCGAGACACCTTCCAGAGTCGCCGGATTTCAGAGATTCTCGATTTGTCCTCACCCCGATTTTATCCTCGTCCTGAGGCCCCCCCCGCCCGACCTGAGAGACCCCCCGCCCGCCCGACCTGAGGCGCCCCAGCAGCCGTGGAAGTCGCCCTTCTGGAACCAGCCCCTCTCGCCGTCCCCGGCGCAAGTCGCCGCGCAGGAGGGGGTCCCGAGGAGCATGGCTTCTGAGGCTCGCCGTCTTGGGCCTCCTTGGCCCCCCACGGGCCTCGGGCGTGTCAAGCAGCGGCTCAGGACGAAGAGCAGGCCCAGGCCCCCTTCCCCTCACGACCCGCTCGGGGCGTGGCGGCCGAGTGCTCGGCCACGAAGGCAGGACCGCCGCATCGGCGCTGCTCCTTGTCCCTCATGGCAGGACACCCTCACTCAGATCCGGGCGCTGCAATCTGCTCACGCCGGACGTTCGCGCCCGATGTGGGGACCCTTTGAGGCCGATCCAGCTCGAAACAGGCACGCAGAAAAAGCTGGGGCCCGAGGCTCTCCGGCCGTGTCTTTTCTGGTGGTGCTGCACTTTTGTGGCAACGCTGTGGGTCTCAGGGGAGGCGATGTGGTGACATCCGAGTTGGCGTGGCGCGTCGTCCGCGGCGGCCCGGTTGTCCAGGCGCCCCGCCGGCCACGGGCCTACGTCTTGCGCAGAGGCGGGGGGGGGGGGCGCCACGGACCAGAAAGACAACCGTCGGGTTGGGAGGATGGGGACGGGAGACATGTCGGGTATACCAGGACCCCAGGTAAGGGGACCCGGTCAGTAGTAGGGCCCTGGAGCCCCTTAAATTGGCCAGTAT